ATCTTAAAAATTACTCATTGTGGGCCAAGCAGTGGCAAAGTGGTTAAAGTGGCTATATCCCACATAGATGGCAGTGAGGCTCGAGTCCTGGACCTGGCAATTTGAAATACATTCCAGGCCTATGTGCATGTGTGCCCAGAATCTCTAAAGGAGGGAGAAGTGAGGAGATTACGGCATGACCAATCCCTGTGGGGAACTGAAAAACCAAATATGTACTTGTGGCCCCTACCCCACTCTCCATCTGTTGCTCTTGCTATAGGTGATTTAATTGTCAATCTCATGTGATTATCTTATTGACGTGTTTTAAATAAGGCAAATTATATAAAAATCTCCCTTTAGGCAAAATAAAATACTTTTCTGGAGTCAATCAAGAAGCCCAGAACAGTATTCCCCCCGGTATCTAAGAGGGATACATTCCAGGACTCCATGGAGCCATCCTGGGGCCCCCTGAAACTGCGGGGCGTGTTGAACCCCATATGTCCACATGTCCATACCAATGGGAATGTTCAATTTGCAGCAGCAAAACTAGTACACGCTTGTTTTTCCTTCTTTGAAATTTCACAAATAAGACTTATTCTTTTTCTTCTTTTTTTTTTTTTAGAGGTTTTCGCTACAGGGCGCATGCACTTGCCAGACAGACAGAGAGAGACAGAGAGACAGAAAGCGAGAAATCACCCCCCAGGGGGGATGGTCACGCCGCAATCCCTTCTCCTCCATTCTCCTCTCAGGATCTTGGGCACACATGCACACGCGCCCGGCGTGAGTTTTAAGCCACCGGGTCTGGGACGCGAACCGCAGTCGACTATGTGGGAGTCCAGCGACATAGCCATTACGCTAACTGCTGGTTCCCACAAATAGACTTATTCTAACTAAATGTTAGCAACCTCAGGGTGTTATTTTCTCCTTATGAAGTTGAAAGTATTTCTCTTTTCACTTAAAGGAAGCACTTTACAGCTTCTTTTGGCATAACAGAATTGCCAGCATCACAACTCTCATGCTGGGGGCCATCATTATGGAAAGTGCAGGTTACCTGAACATGAGCACTAGGATACCACAACCGATGACCAAGACGGCTGCTAAGTGACTAATAGGTGAGAGCACGTGCAGTGTGGATAAACTGGACAAAAGGACAAGTTGTGTCCTGGGCAAGACAGAGCAAAATTGAAAACTTGGGAGCTGTTTACTTCTAGAATTTTCCATTTATTACTTTTGGACTGTGGGTGTCCTTAAGAGAATTGAAACTGCAGAAATAAAAATCATGGGTAAGGGAAGACTGCTGAATTAATTATTTTATAAAATCATGTACACACAAAATATCCAACAACACTTTTGTCCTATGGGAAACTGTGAGGCTCTTTTTTTGATATAAGGCACAGGGGCTGAATTCTGGCAGAATGATTTTAGGGCACAATTAACAGTTGATATATACTCTGCTTCCTGGACTCTGGATTTCCCTGGCTAGGCGGTAATGACCTATATGTATAACTGGATTTACTCTACTCTTAAATTTCTGGACATAACCAGGTCTATGTGAAAGTTACAAATGAATGACAAGTCACCGAGCATAGGTTTTAAGGAGAAAAGCAAATAATTTGAGATGAACAAAATTATAATTCAGCCCAAAGAATTTGCTCAAGATTGCAGCTAACTTGATTAAAGACAAGGGCACGTTTGCACACATATGTACATTCACAGGCACACAAATTAAACCGACCGCTAAGTTCTCAGGAAATGCTGCTAAGAAAATAGCTGCTACATTCAGATTTCAGGTTCTGGTTCTATGTAGGATGCCTCTCTTAATTACTTTCCCTTTGGAGCGAAAACAACAGTCCTTGAAGTCACAGAACTGATGCTTTAGAAGGATCCTTAGAAGTCATCTAGTTGTATCTAGAGATCCCTCTGCAATATCCCCCGGAAGTCCACATGTGGTCTGAAGAGAGGCAGTGTTGCACAGTGTTTAAACACACATGCTTTGAGGCAGGGATGTATATAGGTTTTGTAGGCTTTACCTCTTACCAGTAGTCACCTACGGAAAGTGCCTTACCCTCAATTTCTTCATGTATTAATAGGGGGGTGATAACTACCAACCTCATAAAGCTATTCTAAGGCTTGAATGAACTGAACAAGTAAGTGTGAAGTGCTTGGCACATAGTAAGGACTTGGCACAAATCAGTGCTCAAACAGAAGGTTAGTCAGCCCTGACTACTACTGGGTACAACAACCCCACTGTGAGGGAGGTCAAACCTGGCTGTTGGCTATTAACCTCATTCCTGCAGACCTAGTCTGTCCCACAGAGCTTAACCGAGGTCCCTGAGACAGTTTCAATGGGGAGATGGTACAACGTCCTGCCTGAATCTCCCTGGTATCAAGCACACATCCAAGTCTCTCGACGGCTCTTCACGTGGCCCTCTGTGATCTATGTTCTCTCCTGGATGGACTCCAGCAGGCTGGAGACTTTAAAAGCGGCACCTTGTGTCTTTTTGTTGTTGTTTCATTTTGTTTTGTTCTTAGGATTTTGTCATAGGGCGCTTGTGCTTGCCAAAGAGGATGAAAGAGAGGGAGAGGGAACATGAGAAATCACCCCCAGGGGGATGGTAATGCTACAATCCTTCTCCTCCGTCTCTTCTCAGGAGTTCAGGCAGGCTCACACACAAACCCGACATGTCTTTCAAGCTTCCAGATCCAGTCCAAGACTCAAACCGTGCAGTCAGCCATGCAAGATCCAGCACCTTAACCTTCTTGCTACCTGCTGGTCCTTGTTTTTCTTTTTCGCATAAGGCTATTGTATTAGCTTTTTTGACAGAAAAACTCAGTCCATAGTGGGATGGGGAGTGGATCACCTAACTTAGTTTTAGGGTGTGACTAAATCCCAGAGCTGGCATCAAAAATTTTCTGATGAGCAGCTAGCCAGCCTCTTTCCAGCTGTGCAACATCTGGCACCTCAGTTTCCTCACCTGTAAAATGAAGGGGTAACTAATATACTTCACTGGGTAACTGGTCATTGTAGTGGTATTTCCTCCACTCCCACTCTTCCTAGATCGCCACCTACACTTTGTTTTTAAGGTCGAGGTGTCTACTGAAATTGCTCTCGTCGAGAATACCAACACTCCTCAGGCAGGCAAACCCAACAGGAAGCCTGGGCCTCATCTTTCTTGACCACTTAGCAGCGCTTGTCAGATCTGGCACTCCCCCTTCTCCACATGTGCCTTTCACTTGCCTTGCAGGACACCACCCTCTCCTGATTTTCATACTGTCTCTGGCTTCTCCTTCCTAACAGCCGTTGCTGCATCCTCATCTCAACCTCTGGATGCTGGAGTGTCCCAGGTCGGTCCCTCTCGATATCTACACTCACACCCTAGGAAGTGTCACCCGATGGACTGCAAAGGATAAACTCATGGACTGTGGAGCCAGACTGCCTGAGTGAGGCTCAGCTTGTACCTTATAAGCTGTGTCAAGGAGGCAAGAGATTTAACCTCTCTGTCTCAATTTCTCCCTTCACAAAATTGGGGGGTGAGGTAACTTTCTACAGCTGTTGTAAAGATGAAATCAGTAATACAGGTAAAGTGCTCAGGCAACATTAATTACTATCCAGTTCCATGGCATGATGCACCATAAATATACTGATGATTTCCAAATGTATATTCACAGTTCCTGAACTCTAGTCTTTTCGATCTAAATGCCCACCTGACATGTCCACATTGATGCCAAACCAAACCTCAGAGTTCACGTAGCCCAGACAGAACTCTTGATTCTACGTCATCTCCCAAACCATCATTCTCCTGGTCTCCCGCATCTCACTAAAATGCACCGCCATTCTCCCAGTTGCTCAGGCCAAAGCCTCAGAGTCATCCTCAGCTCCTCTTTTTTCCCTTATCCAACCTTCAGCAAATCTTGCTACTTACTCCACCTTCAAAATACATCCAGAATCCAACCACTTCTTATTTTACTCTGAAAGGTCCTCAAGACATTCATAAAAGATGTGTATTATGAAAAAAAAAAAAATACGTGTGAAGTTAAAACATTCTTTGCACCAAAACACTGACTCATACTTTAATACCATTTTCGTGAACTTTTCAAAGTCCCCTCATATTATCACCTGGAATAAGCCAACATAACTTCTTCCCTAAACAACTGCTATACCACTTAACTGTATCATTGTTTTCTTCTTTGTTCCCATACGATCTGTTCTTTACCCAGGAACTAGAGTATTCTTAAAAAAAAAAAAAAATCAGATGTTGCTCTGGCTCGAAGGTCTTCAATGACATCCTTCGTACTTGGAATGAAACTTAAAGTCCTCTCATTTACTGCAAGGCTCTGTGCGACCTGCCTTTGTCTACCTTTTAGCCTCATCTCTCACCACTCTCCTTACCTACTCTACTCCAGTCACAAGGTCTGTCTTGTGCTTACCACACTTCACATGCAAGTTTATGCTTCAGGCCCTTTGTACTTGCAGCCCCCTGTCTAGAATATTCTTTCCCCCAGATCTTCACATGCCCTAACCCCAATTCTTTGTAAACGGGACATAGATGCTACTTGTTAGAGAGTCTCTCCCAATCCAACCCAACAAAAACACAACCTCTCACCTCATTCCTACCCCATTACTATCTGTTTCTTTATTATATTGTTCTCCACAGTCCTTAGGAATACATCTGACAATCTACATTTGTTTATTTATTTGTCATGCCTCCTAGAATGTCAGCTCCTTGGGGACTACAACTCTATTCTGTTTTGTTCACTATGGTATCCACAACACCTAAGTGGTGTCCAGAATATGGCAGGTGCTCAAGAAATATTTTTGGAATGAATGAAGAAATAAGTAGTGCTTACCACAGTTCCTGGGACAGAGCACAGAACTAAAAATGTGGGATGTCAATTTTAGAAAGTAAAAAATGTTCAACACAAAAGCTGAAATTCTTCAGTGATATTATGTAAGATATAAAAAAACTATAGTATATATTTTCACCCAATTTCAATATAAATACCTATTATATTATACTTACTTGGAGTTTCTTCTAGAATTTCCTGGAACTTGGTTCTCTCATATTCCACCAACTGGCGTTGAAGGTGTGGTCTAATACTCCTAATTGTAAAATTGGCCATGTCCATCTTCATGAGGTCTAGGACATGGAATATTTGTCTACAAATTTTAGAATTAAAAAGTTAGGTGATTAAGAAGGTAAGCTGAAATTCATAAACTATTACTGATGTTACATTCTGGAAAAGATAAACATTCCCAAAGTGTCTGTGAAATTTCAACTGCCATTTGGCAACGTCACTTTTCATTGACGGAAGTTCATAATGCGTATTCCAAGTGTGTCCTTCCATAGATCTCAAAAGTTGTTACATTAGCAGGTATAATACCTCCCATTGTTCTGTAACATCCAGTCATAAACCAGTAGAAAGACACTAAGAAGCATAAACAACTACTTTTAGCAATAACGCAAGAAAAAAAAATCAAAGAGGAATTTTCATTTGATAGCTCCTAAAATTTTAAGGAGTCTAAACATAGTGTATATGGCTTATATTCCTAAGGAAATAAGAAAAAAATAAATACATGAAGGAAAGAAAGGACAGGGCAATGAGGCGCCATAAAAAAAAATACTTCCTTTTGGAGTTGGCAGCCCTGTGCTCAAATGCAGCTTTGCAACCAACCAGCTTTGTAGCCGGGGCAAGTTACTCAGTCTCCCCAAAACTCAGTTTACTCCTCCATGAGAGAAGAGGACAACATCAACCTTGGAAGGATGTTATGAGCAGTCAATGAGGAAATGAGTGTGAAGTACATAGGGCAATGGCACCCAGTGGACACTCAACAAATGACCAAGATGATATTATGTCATACATGGTAAGAAGATAACTAAAAGCAAGGATTCCACAACTGAAGAGTAACAACTGCCACAGCTGAGTTTAACCCTTAGGATACATAAATCCTATTTTACAGACTAAAGGTCACTTTGCAAGGCTATCGACTTGCCCAAGGTCACAAAAAAAGCTACCTGCTACATGCAGACCAATTTCCTTCTTCTATCATCCCAAAACCGTGAAACAAACCTCAATTTTCAATAAAGGAAAGGAGGGAGGAAAAGAAAAAGAAAGAGGAAAAGGTCCCCTCAATGGCAAATGGTGGTCTAGTCTCCTCTTTTCTTTGGGATCACAGGGCAGTTATTATCTACCTAGCTAGCTGAGATTCTCATGATCTAAAGCACAGCTCACTTTCTCAGGGAGGCTGAAGTGGAGATGGGCTGCTGACTACAAGAGGCCCAAGCTTGCTTTCATAGTGCAGATCACTGGCTGTGAAACGTGTTTCCAGACAGCAGCTACCTTTCCCAGCCACCCTGCAACCTAGGTGAGACTGCTTGACTAGTCATGGTCAAGGAACTGTGTCACTCCTGGGCATACGCGGTTACACATTGGGTGTGCGTTCCCTATGATCTCTTTTCCTCCTGCCAGCTGAGTAGAGAGGACTCCAAGGATCTGGGTGAGGGTGGAGCCAAGGACAGAGGAGCTGGGTGTCTGAAAGACATGTAGAAGATTGTCTAACCAAGAACCCCAGAAAAGGAGTGTGACGTGAGAAACCAACTCTTATGGATTAAATCATGGAGAATGCAGGGTTTATCTGTTGTAACAGCTACTAATCCTAGTAAAGAAGGTTGTCCTTGAGTAGGTTAAGCTCCCCTTCTGGGGGCTCCGTTAAGACCTTCTAGTTTCCCTTCCACAGCACTTAAGACAATTATATATCATTAATTATGCAAGGACTGTCTTTGCAATAGACTGTAAACTCACTGAAGTTGGGATTCAGTGTAAACACTCAAGTGTTTTCACCACTTCATCTCCAGAACCCACCATGTGCAGAGCATTCTATCTGAAAACTATGTATATAATGATAGATTTGGGAGACCAGTTATTAATTTTGTATTCCCTAAAACCCACACTTCCTTTTTGAATAAACTCAAAGATACTCTAAGAAAATGCAAGCAGCAACAGTGCTAACCTCAGCACCTCCACGATGTTGCCAGTAGCCTTTATCTCTCTGATGTCGTTATCACGCACAGGAGCACACAGCTTCCCCATCGTACTGATGACATAGTTGGCCAGGCCTTGGATGTCGACAGCATTGTGCTCAGCTTGCTGTCGAATGAGGTCTGTGTCCAAAACTTCACAGATCTGGTTGCGAAGCCGGTTGCCACCAGGAGCCAGAAAAGAGAGAAGAATCTACACAGAGCAAGAAAGAAAGTTAACAGCATCATTACATGAATAAAGGTTGTTACTTTTCACTTTGGTGTCTAGATGACCAAGCGCTTTGTCTGTATTGAGCACCCTGCAAGTGACAATGACTGGGTAGTGGATCAGAGGAACACTCTAGTGTTAACCCTAAAAAGCAAGTTCTAGCTTCTGAATTCAAGTGCTCCACCATGGGAAATCACCAACTCTGTCAGGATGAAAACAACTGGCCATTATTTCATCAATAATACTGAAAACGCTTCAGAAAGTCTACAAACAGTGCAAAGAAGAAAGAACAAGTTGTAGACCGTGACTCCAAAAGAACCCTTTAAAAAAAGAGATGAAAAACCCCACAGGATTCATTAAGTATAGTTTGTACACAAAATACTCATTACCTATCATATCATATGCGTAATGAGTATTCGGCACACAGTAGATACACAGTAGTGTATGCAGTACACACCTAGCACACAGGAGCATGGGCTCTGAGCAAGTGGCTTGGTTCAAACTCCTCTCTGAATAACCCTGCAAGAGTCAGAGGAACTTTGTTTCTTTATACAAAGTAAGAGTAACAGGAGTCACTACCTCACAGCAGTACAGTATGGATGAGCAAATCATCTAGTGCTTGGCATAGAGCATGTACCCTGTAGATATTAGAGCTGAAATTACAATGGTCATCTCATCTAATTCTTATAACTAATCTATAAATACTCAGGAAACCGAGGCTTAAAGAGAGAGCTTATTACTAAGCCAGATTTATGAAAGTCCAGAGTCTAGTGCTCTTAGCCCTTAGTTGGTGCTATATAGTTGGTGCTATAAGCATCACCCTGAGTTCTTTCCTCTGTCCCATTTTCCCAGCTTCTACTCCAGGAGGTATAGGAGAAAACCCTACCAGGGTGTGAACTTCCTCAGCTTTTCAAAATGAATGACCAGTGTTAAAGAGCAAGAACGGTCTTGGGAGGATACTAATTGCAATAGTCTCAATGTCTGTGTTTCCCCCAAATTCATATTTGAGAAGGGATAGGTCATGAGGATGGAATCCTCAAGAGTGGGATTACTGCCCCTATAAAAGAGGCCCTAGAGAGGTCCCTTTTCCTTCTACCATGTGAGAACATGAAAGGCACTGTCTATGAGCCAGAAAATGGACTCTCCTTACCAGATACTGAACACGTGGGTGCTTCAATTCTGGACTTCCAGCCTCCAGAACTGTGAGAGGGAAGCTTCTATTGTTTACAAGCCACCCAGTTTGAGGTACTCTGTTATCACAGCCCAAGTGAACTAAGGCACAAACTAATACCAGTAACATCAACTTGCCTCTCTGATTTCTTCAAACAGTTTGATGGCATGTTCATACTCGGGAGGCTCAGCCTTTAGTTCTGATTCCAAGACATCCCAGAAGGCCTGATGAACAATGTGCTTCACTCGTCCAGCCAAGCTATAGCAATGAAATGGACTCTTTTTAAAAATAAGTCTTATTTTTCCTCATTATAAAAAGGAATATGCTCATTGTCAAAAATCACAAATACAGGGGAAAAAATAATAAAAATTACCCATAATCCCATTATTAATCTATTGACACATTTCTCTTATTCAATGCATTATTTTAACATAGTAAAGAGTACCCAATACAATATCTCTTCCTTTTATTTATTTAGTATCCTTTCCTAAGTCCTGTTTAAAAGTTGCCTGTTGGAAAAGTCATAACACATTTTGTGGAAAAAAATATGTCCTGACCTTTCCGACAACCCTATCTATATTCCACCCTATTCCTCCAGACTTTAAAAGTCCTTCCTTCTGTGGCCAGCAGGGGCCGTGGTGGTTCTGGGCACTGGACTCCCACATGGCTGACCATGGTTTAAGTCCCTGGCAGCTTGCTTTCTCACTTTCTCTCTCTCATTATATCCCTCTCTGGCCATATTAAAATAAATAAATAAAAAACGTTAAACAAAATAATTATTTTAAAAAAGTGTTTCCTTCCTACAGCTTTTGATAACTTCATAAAAGTCTTCCCTGAGGAAATGCCATAATTTACCTATAGCTACTTTTCTACACAGGCCTTTATGCTTGCTCTAGACCCCTGGCATGAGATGGCAAAGTTGTTCTTTCCTCAACAGCTGGGTTCATGACACGGACTAGAAGAGACTGCCCAGGAGACATGCATTTGAATGCCTGCCAACTTCAGCTTAGATGTCCCATTTAAAGTTAGTCAGGCCAAACTGCTGAAACAGGAAACCTCTTAGGGAGACCTCACACTGGAATAGGCAGCCACCTTGCCTCATCCCTTACGTCATTGTCCTAAAATAGGTGCACATTAAAATACACATTCCTACTGAACTCCTACACCATCTTCTAACAGCTTCTAGAAAACCATGAATTTCCCTGCACTGTAATTACTGATAAATCTCTTTCCCCACAAAGCTATATCCCTCTTCCAGGCAGAAGACATAGCTCCCTTATCTAGGTATCTGCCGCGGTGCCTAGCACAGGGCCTGGTAACAGTGAGTGAGTAATGAATGCATGGTGAATGATTCAGCCATTTGATGGTAAGCATATCACCTACATTTTCTTCTTCACAGTACAAATAGCAGGTCAGCTCCATGACCTGGTGGTTAAGGCAGCTGGGTCCCACATGGCTGACTGTGCAGTTTGAGTGCTGAACCTGACAGCTTGAGAAACATACCATGAGTATGTGCGTGCCTGTGCCCAAAATCCTGAGAGGGAGAGATGGAGGAAAAGGGATTGTGGTGTGACCATCCCCGTAAGGGATGTTTTCTCCCCTCGCTCTTTCTCTGTCTCTCTGAGTGCCCTCTAACACCAAAAAAAAAAAAAAAAAAAAAAAAAGTGCAAATAGTTAAATATACAATAACACTATGAGAGATAAAATTAGCTTTATGAGGAGCATTAAGTTAAATTTGTTTCTATACTGCAAATAATATATGGACTCAGCAACTTTAAATAGTAAAACTTACTCTAGTTGTCTGAGGGGCTTTATTCAACACAGATGTTCAAGATTCTCAGGGCCAGCAAGTGGTGTAGTGGTTAAGGCCCTGGACTCCCACATGGCTGACCACAGTTCAAGTCCTGGACCCAGCAGCTTAAAACTCACTCTGGGCACCTATGTGTGTGCTCAAGGTCACAGGAGGAAAATGAAGAAGGGATTACAGCATGGCCATAGCCATATCCCCTGCGGGGGGTGAGGGTGGTGATTTTTCACTTTCCCTCTCACTGTCTCTCTGGCAAGCACACTTACCCTATGGCAAAAACCTAAAAAAAAAAAAAAAAAAAAAGAGTGTTCTATGAAACTCTAGAACAGTGGGAGAGACAAATACATTGTTGGAACAAACCTCCCCTTTTGACTTTACAAGTCACATGTAATTTGCTTGAAAGGGCGAACAATGAATGAGCTAAAACAATTTTATAGCTCCCTAAGGGAGGTCAGAGTTTAAATTTAAGTTTTGCTAAAGGCTACAGGGTGTTTTTAGCTCTTCAGTTTTCTGAAGAAATTTGTGTAGGGGTTAGGAAGATTCAATCAGTCAAATCATTTATAAGTATTCCTACTGGGGATCAAAAATCTTATTCATGTTGCTAAGGTTTTTTTCCCCAAAAAAATATATTTGATAAATATGAGCCAGTCATATTTAGAACGGGAAAATTTGGCATGGGAGAATGATCTGTACACCTGCAGCTACTAGTATGCTGCTTCATGTTCTTCTTTACTCATGATAGGATGCAAGCAATGAGAAAGCATGAGAGTGAAAGGGATGAGCCCCCTGCACAGGGTCAGGTCACACCATGATCCCTGCCCCTTGACTCTCCCGTCCACCAGCTCCTGGGCTCTCATGGGTGTACCTGACGTGTTTCAGGCTGACTGGGCAAGGGTTTACACCACGGTCGTCAGGTGGATCAGCTTCCCTTAAAGAGTGTATTACCATGGAGCCATGAAGTCAGCCCAGCTACTTCGTTTGCTAATAAAGTGAATGTGCCCTGACTGCACTTTGCTTTCCTTTCTCACAGTTTCTAGCCATGGCAGATAATGAAGGAAAGCAGGATTAATAATTCCCATAATATCAAAGGACTTGCGTGAAAGCAATTTATGTCAGGGAGCATGCATCTGAAGTGAGTAGTGCAATCTCCATCTTATCCTCGGGAATGTGAGGCCCACAGACAGTCTCAGCAGAGTGAGGATTCAAACCCTGGGATCTGTCTGATCATACCAGCACCGTAACTAAGGCCTGTAGTTATAATTTTTTTTTTTTTTTGGAGAGCTCTTTCGCTATAGGGGGGTGCACTCACCAGATAGACAGAGAGAGACATAGAGACAGAAAGTGAGAAATCCCCCCCCAGGGGGGATGGTCACGCCACAATCCCTCCTCCTCCATTCTCCTCTCGGGATCTTGGGCATGCACACACACGCGCCCGGCGTGAGTTTTAAGCCCCCGGGTCCGGGACGTGAACCGCAGTCGACTACGTGGGAGTCCAGCAACATAGCCATTACGCTAACTGCTGGCTCCCTGTAGTTATAATTTTTGAATTAAAAATACAGATATCTCTAAGTTGTCTTTTGCTGTAATCGATAAAAACAACAACAAGCTAATTTTGGCCTAGCTATGGTGGTACATGCAGTTGTGGTTCTGTTGCTTGATGCTGGAGCCATATGGGAGGCCCCGGGTTTGGATCCTGAATTGATCTGAGCACACGGGGTATGAACATGGGTATGCCTGTGATCCTGGCTGGCTGGATGACTGGTACGTGGGCAGGAATCATGATGTGATGGGACACTGCTAAGGGTGCCTGTCTGTCTCTGGTTGTTTCTGTGTCTCATGAAAAATGTAATAAATGAAAGAAATTCTTTAAAAATCCTTTAAAAATACTAATTTTAACTTAAAAAACATTTTTATTGGTCAATTAGTAAATGTTTACTGAACATACAATGCGTGCTAGGCAGCTATGTTTTAGAAACAGGGACTACTGTACTGAAAGGAAAGTCTCAGCCCTCAAAAACCTTAAATGTTAACAGATATATAAAGATAAACAACAACAACAAAACATTAAAAATGAGTAAGGAAAGGGCTGGCCCTGTAGCCTAGTGATTAAGGGAGTCAGATCCCACATGACTGACTATGGTTCAAATTCCAGCCCCTGTGGCTTGAAAACATGCCGGGTGTATGTGCTCATGTGCCCAAGATCCTGACAGGATGGAGAGGAGGAGGAGAAGGGACTGTGGCACGACCATGACCCGTTTGTGTGTGGGGGGAGGTTCTCCCTCTCCCTCTCTAGCTAGTGCGTGCACATGTCCTGTGACAAGTTTTAAAAATTAGTGAGACAACTTCAGAGCTATGAGGAAGAGAGTAAGACAATATGGTAGACAGTGATGGAGTGGGTGCTGATTTCACTAGGGTGTTAAAGAAAGCTTCTCCAGGGACCAGCAGTTAGCATAATGGCTATGTCGCTGGACTCCTATGTAGTCGACCATAGTTCGAGTCCCAGACCCGGTGGCTTAAACTCACGCCAGGCATGAGTGCATGCATGCCCAAGATCCTGGGAGGAGAATGGAGGGGAAAGGATTGTGGTGTGGCCATCCCCCCGGGGGGGTGATTTCTTGCTTTCTGTCTCTCTGTCTTTGTCTTTCTGGCAAGCACATGTGCCCCATAGCAAAAAAAAAAAAAAAGAAAGAAAAAAGAAAAAAGAAAAGAAAGCTTCTCTAATGCAGTGACCTTTGAGTTTAGACTCAACTGAGAAGGAGAAAACAGCCATATGAAGATCTAGGGGAAGAACATTCAAAGTATAAAGAAAGAAAAATAAAAATATCTGAGAAGGGATCAAACTTAGTGGCTAAAGTAAAGAAAGCAGAGGGAAAATACAAAGAGTCAGGATCATGGAAGTAGGGCCTTCTGGGCCATAAAAGAGTATGGGATTTTATTTTATGTATAATAGAAAATCAAGATGGGGTCAGACAGGGAACCAGCAGTTAGTGTAATGCCTATGTCGCTGGACTCCCACGTAGTCGACCACGGTTCGCATCCCGGACCCAGTGGCTTAAAACTCACGCCGGGCGCGTGTGCGTGCATGCCCAAGATCCCGAGAGGAGAATGGAGGAGAAGGGATTGCAGCGTGACCATCCCCTCTGGGGGGTGATTTCTCACTTTCTGTCTGTATGTCTCTGTCTGGCGAGCGCACACGCCCTATAGCGAAAAACCTCTCCAAAAAAAAAAAAAAAAATTAAAAAAAAAAAAAAAGATGGGGTCAGACAGTGGCACAGGGTAATGCAACTGGGCCCACATGGGGAATGTCCTGGAATGTGTACACCCATGATCTAAGCTAGTGGAAACTGGGGGTGGATTGTGGCATGAAGACTGTTGGGGGTACCTATCTCTGACTCTGTCACTATCTCTCTCATGAGAGAAAAAAAAAAAAGAACACTTTAGGGGCTGGCTGGTGGTAAGGATGGTTAATGGTGCTGGACCTCCACATGGCTGACCGTGGTTTGGGTCCCAGACATGGATGCTTCTTGCTTTTTCATTTTCCACCTATCTCAACCCCCCACTCTGTCTCTATTTGATCACATTAAAATAAATAAAATAATTCTTTAAAAAACAAAACTTTAAAGATAAAAACAAGGGACCAACAGTTAGTATAATGGCTATGTTGCTGGACTCCCACGTAGTTGACCGCGATTTGAGTCCTGGACCCGGTGGCTTAAATTCACACCAGGCGCGTGTGCGTGTGTGCCCAAGATCCTGAGGGGAGAATGGAGGAGAAGGGACTGCAGCGTGGCCATCCCCTCTAGGGGGTGATTTCTCGCTTTCTATCTCTCTGTCTCTTTCTGTCTGTCTGGCAAGCACACGCGCCCTATAGCAAAAAAAAAAAAAAAAAAAAAAAAAAAAAAAAAAAAAAACTCCAAAAAAATTTTAAAAACAAAAATATCTAAGAGTTTAAAGCAAAGCTAGGATCTAATCTGATTTATCCTTTAGAAACATAATTATGTTACTGTGTGATATGGAGGACAGTCTGTCCTTCCAGCTGAGAATGAAGACAGGGTAAATGGTTAAAACTGAAAGAGTCCAAGTCAGAGATGGTGGGTGGTAGCCTCATCCAGGGGTATAGCAGTAGAGCTGGTCTAAAGAATCACAATGAAATGCAGTTTCCAAAGAAAACTAAACAGATACACCTTTTAATAGTGTATGAAAAACATCCCTAGGAGGACTAGAATCCACATTTTTAAATTGAGTTTACTTTCTTTCTTTCATGAGAGTAAGAAACACAGAGAGAAAGAAAGGTAAGCACCCTCAATAGTCTCACACTGCAATCTTCCCTCAGCCTTCCTAGCCAGCCCAGGTCGACCAGCAAACTAAACACATGACTTTCCTTATGGATCCAGCATTGCTTGAGCAGGGTTACTACTGCACCACCGAGCCACCTCCTATGACCTACTTTTTAAAGAATTAAAAATTCCGTTTGCTTATTCTCTTTCTTTAAAACAAATGAAAGGGACCAAACAGTGGCACAGCAAAAAAATGTAATGCTCTTGAGGAAGATTTACATGGTAAGGCTGCTCATTCAGAATCAGAGGCCTCCCTGAGTCGCCAGGCATGTTTGTGCCCATGATCTGGGCTGACTGAAGCTGAGGGTAGATTGTGCATCATGACCCTGCTTGGGGGTGTTGTATCTCTGTCTCTCAACCTCTCTCTCTCTCTTCCCCTCATTCATGGAATAAATAAAACAAAAGAGAAAGTCCTAAGTCAGTCAAATATAAGTTGCCTCAAGATTTACAGTTGGCATTGTATTTAAAGTTAAATTGAATTGAAGTTAAAAATTGTATTGAAGTTAAAAATTCAATACAGGGACCAGCAGTTAGCGTAATGGCTATGTTGCTGGACTCACACGTAGTCCAGCGCGGTTCGAGTCCCGGACCCGGTGGCTTAAACTCACGCCGGGCGTGTGTGCGTGCGTGCCCAAGATCCCGAGAGGAGAATGGAGGAGAAGGGATTGCGGCATGGCCATACCCCCTGGGGGGTGATTTCCTGCTTTCTGTCTCTCTGTCTCTCTCTGTCTGTCTGGTGAGCGTACACGCCCTATAGCAAAAACCTCTCAAAAAAAAATTCAATACATAAACCAACTTTGCCTCTAAAGATGATTTATTTTGAATAATGGTCTCCAGTCTTTTCTCCTCTTTGTCCCAGGCAATTTGTGAGTCACTGACACCAGGGAGGCTGATGTAGGATATAAAGGTGTGACCCTAACTAGAGGTTCCTAGGGTAACCAGGAAATGCTCCTAAATGTTTCTAGATTTCCTATTGTTAGTACTTCTATCGCATTTAGAGCTAGCTAGCCCCTGCTGTACTGATTGATCCTTTGCAACTTAAAAATTAGCTTTTCTTTTTTAAGAATTACTTATTTATTTATTTTCATTTGTTATTATTATTGTTTAATATGAGCTGAGAGACAGAGAGAAAGAAAGAGAAAACAAGAAAGGAAGCTGCCAGATCCAGGACTTGAACCACAGTCAGCCATGTGGGAATCCAGTGCTTTTAACCACCACACCATCTGCTGGCCCCTAATATCACCTTTTACTAAATCAATCTGCAAGTATTTCTTGAGCATATACTATATGTCAGGCACTATGGTAGGCAATAAGGACAGAGAAGCAAGCAATTCAGTTCTTCTATTAATGATGTTTTTGCTCAAGTAAGGAAGACGGACATTGAACATAAAACTATAAGACTTTTTTTTTTTTAAAGGTTTTTGTCTTAGAGCCCTTGTACTTGCTTGAGACAGATAGAGACAGTGAGAGGGAAAGTAAGAAATCACCCCAAGGGGAGGGATGGCCATACAACAGTCCCTTCTCTTCCATTCTCCTCCTGTAATTTTGGGCATGCATGCACATGCACCATGAGATTCTCAAGCTGCCAGGACCAGGACTCAAATGATGGTAGGCCATGTGGGAGTTTAGCACCCCAACCACCATGCAACCCGCTGGCCCCACAAGACTTCTTAACAAAGAGGTGATAGTAAGGGATACATGAGCATTTAGCAAGGGGTTAACTATAGTCTACTAGGGTCAGGAATGTCAAGACAAGCATCCCTCAGGATGTGACACATAAACTGAGGTTGGTTTGTTTGTTAGGTTTTTGCCATGAGCATCTGCACTTACCTGAGACAGACAGACAGAGGGAAAGTGAGAAATCACCCTCCAGCAGGGAAGGCCATGATGCAATCCCTTCTCCTCCATTCTCCTTTTGGGATTTGGGGCACATGTGCCAAATATGATTTTCAAGATGCTGGGTCTGGGACTCATACCATAGTCAGCTACATGGGAGTCTGGTGTCTTAACCATCACATTACCTGCTGGCCCCTAACCTGAGTTTTAAAGACTGTGGGTAACATGTACCTGAGAGGACTTGCTTTTCTAAAGGGTGTATGTTCTCACTAGAGGGAGACAGATGGACGGAGAGGAGAAAGCATCCCCTATGGGGAACAGTCATACTATTCTCTCTTCTCTTCCATCTCTATGTCTTTTAGGATTTGGGGCATGCACGTACACATGTCTGCATGTTATTCAAGCCACTGGGTCTGGGATTTGAACCACACAGTTGGCCAGCTGCCTTAATTACCATGTCATAGAGCTGGCCCCTTTAAGCAAGTATAAGACCTTTTTAGAGAACTGACATTTTTATCCCCTATGGATATTACAAGAACTCCCAGGAATCAGTGTGAAGACATGTATGTGTATATCTTATCCTTACACACACACACACACACACACACACACACACACAATCTTTGGGACTGTTTACACAGAACAAACACCTCCAGGTTACCTATTCTCTGGAATAGCATCTTGTTTCAATTGGAAGTTCTCATTTACAGCAATTTCATGAGCAAGAGTCATGTTTGATAAATTCCTTGCTGCAGACATCACTTCATCAAATGTGACAACCCTGGGAGGGCTTGTTGCTGAAAGAAAAACAAAAGTCAGTTAATGGTGTAAAAGAGAAACTGCCATCCAATGAAGCCTCCTGATGCAGACAGGGTTTAATTTATTCCTGTGCATATTTAAAAGTTTTACAAGTAAGGAGAAGAATATACTGAAATAGGTGGGTTATTCCATTTAAGACAGACTTCAAAAATTTAAGAACTTCTGGGGACCAGCAGTGGCATGGTTGTCAAGGGATTGGTCCGAGTCCCGGACCTGGTGGCTTACTTTCTTACTTTCTCTCGTCAAATTAAAATAAATGGGTAAATAAATAAAATTAAATAATTTTTTTTTAATTTAAGAACTCCTTCAATAGCTTGCTTCAGTGATCACATTCAATAATAAATTCTCAAATGCTTCTAAAACAGTTTTATTAAAATGAGTCTATTATAGATTACTTTTAAAGTTAAATCATGTTATTTTTTTTAGAGAGATTTTTTTGCTATGGGGCATGTGTGCTCACTGGAGACACAGAGAGACAGATAGAGAGACAGAAAGTAAGAAATCAGCCCCCAGGGGGATGGCCATGCAGCAATCCCTTTTCCTCCATTTTCCTCTTGGGACTTTGGGCGTGCATGCACACGTGCCTGGTGTGAGTTTTAAGCCGCTGGGTCCAGGACTCGATTCGTGGTCAACTACATGGGAATCCAATGACATAATCATTACACCATTGGGGTTTTTTTGTTGTTTTTTTGTGTTTTTTTTTAGTTTTATTTATTTATTTGCAGTATCATGCCTTCAGTGATTTTATTATTGCTTTCTCTCTTTTTCTTTTTTTTAAATTTTTAAATATCATTTTCTTTTATACATTCAATCACTAAATCATCTTATTTTTAGTGGCTGTTGATACCTGCATTTATAACATGTGTTACATAAGAAATTGATAAGACTATTTTTATTCAGCAACTCAGAATTCCCATTAGATTCAGTATGAAATAACCAATTTTTAAAACTATAACTTCTGAAAGTATAGGCAGTACAGTATAATGCTCAGATTCAAGTCTAGTTTTACCAATTAGCAGTTATCATTTGACTTCACTGAGGCACAGCTTAACTTCTCACATGGTTGGTCTGAGGTTAATTAAATGAGATAATCTGAGTCAAGATGAACATAATAAGAACTCTATAAATGTTCATAATTAAAGTAAAATAAAATAAATCTGGAGGCCAGAAGGTGGTGAGGAGGTTAAGGTACTGGATCCCACATGGCCAGCTTTGAGGTTGAGGCCTGGACCCAGGAGCTTGAGAATCATACTGGGTGTGTATGTGTGTGCATGCCCAAAATCCTGAGAGGAGAATGGAAGAGAAGGGATTTTGGTGTGGCCACCCTCCCGGGGGAGGGGGGGATGATTTCTCTCTCTCTCTCTCTCTCTCTCTCTTTCTCTCTGGCAAGCACATATACCCTATAGCAAAAAACTAAAAAATAAATAAATAAATAAGAGATTCTGAGATTTACTCAGTAGAAAGTAGTAAATAAAGAATCTGAGTTATTTATTCCTAAAGATTACACTAAAAACTTTTTCTAATAAATCATGTTTTAAAAAATCATTGGCAATCTTAGCTTCTGTTAATTAAAAATCATGATCTCAAACAATGACATTGACAGGCAGTACTCCTATTTTAAAAAAAAAAACAAAAAACAAAAACAGAAACAAAAAAACACAAAGGAGCAGGGGGTTGGGGGAAGAAGAGAAAGAAAATGATACACACCTTTCTTCAGGATGCCTAGGTACCCTGTTATCAGACGTACCAACCTCACATATAGTGTAAAAAGTTAAAAAAAGACAGAAAAGGAGTAGCTGCTGTTAATCCTTTTGTTGACTCTGCTTCAAGATTCTCCTTAAAAATGCTTATACTGGGACCAGCAGATGGTGTAATGATTATGTCGCTGGACTCTCACATAGTCAAACATGGTTAGAGTCCTGGATCCAGTAGCTTAAACCTCACTGGGCACATGTGCGAGCGTGCCCAAGATGCCAAGAGGAGAATGAAGGAGAAGGGACTGTGGTGTGGCCATCCCCCCCCCACAAGAGGGTGATTTCTCGCTTTCTCTCTGTCTCTATCTGGTGAGTGCATGTGCCTTATAGCAAAAATCTCTCTCTCTCAAAAAAAAGTCTATACTTTTTGATTCAGTAATCAAGTGATATCCAGAAGATTCTTCAGAAAGCCTAATTTATGCATCAAGATATCCATAAAGCATGATTTAACACAAACTATCCAATGATAAATCAATAGGTAAGTAGATTTGTGGTATACTAACTTGATGAAGTAGTAGATAAATTGTAAAACCAATGCTTTAAAAATAAATGATAGTGAGTAAATGTTTTAAATAATATGAAGTGAAACGAGTCCACACACATATGTCTACATGAAGGATAAAGAGAAAGCAAAGCTGCCAGCTGTCGTCTGGGCAGTATCACAGGCACTGTTTTCTCTCTTCTACACTTAAAGTATTTTCCAAGCTTTTAAAAATGAGAATGTAAAAATTGAACACAAATACAAATTAACACCTTTTTTTTGAAGTGGACATATGATCACATGAAACAATAGTTTCTTCTTCCTCGATCTGCTTTGTCAATTAAGGTGTTATACATCCTAACCAATACGCTAATTAAAAAACAAAAAATTGGCAAACACACTTGCTTTATACATCTCTAGTTTCCACACACCAAAAAGGAAAAAGATGTCTTCCTTTGCCTGGACACTCCTTCTCATACCCCTAGTGTAGTAATTCTCATGGGTACCTTCCTGAGATAATTTGCACAACAGTTTTTGAAATGAGCAGGAAACCCTTTAGATTTTTTCACTTCCTGCCTGACCCTTCAGGGAAGGCAAGTTTCCTTCTATGTAAATCACAAACAAGCAGAAAAGACCAATCTGAATGTATGCTTAAAGGGGGTCTAAGAAGTAATCCCCAGGAGTGGCTTTCCACCATATGGCAGATAAGACAGATGGACTTAATGGGCCTGATTCATGGTCAAACCAAAGCAGATCAGAGAGAGCAATCAAAATAAAAACCAGCAGGTTGTAAACTTTAGGGGCTGTTTATTCCTGTGAACGTGTCCAAGAAAACTGCAGTGTCTCTGCAGTGCTTTTCTGGTACTTCTAGGAAGGACAAGTCATCCGTGCTTTGTTTTCACTCATTTCTGAGTTTCCAAACCCAACACACCTGTCCAGAAGCACCCTCGCCACCCCCACCCTCCTCCCCTGTCAGCTCACAAGCAGGAGAGCTGGATTTGCTGGAGGAGTCGCTTGTAAAGCTCTGTCTGGAGTACTCATAGTCACTGAGCGAAGCCATGCTTTCGGAAAACCTCGAAGAGTCTGAATCGCTTGGCTGGTCCTCGCCAACACACTGCTTCTCGCCATTGAAGGGCATTTTGTGCCACTTGAGTATAGATAAAGACAGAGCACCTGCACAGACAAACAGACCCCGCGTCAATGTTCTGTGGAACTTCCATGGGCGACATCGATACTTCTTCCTCTGTAGACAATGCCCACAGCGGCATGGCCTTGGAAAGGCCCCCAGATGACCTCATCTCATCCTTCCCCTAGTACCTTGGCCAGGTTGTCACTAGGCCATCAAGACTGCCTTCCAGAAAAGGAATTCCACAGTCACAGGTGTGAGCTTACTCAGGACATACCCAGTATGAACACGGAACAACTCTAAGCAATGACAGATCCTTAAAAAAAAAAAAAAAAGACGCATGTGTAGGTGGTGGCACAGTGGTAAAATGTGACACTCTGTGATGCTGACCCACATGGGAAGGATCCTGGTTCATATCAGAAGACCTTTCTGAGTACGTCTGGCCTCTGTGTGCTCATGATCTTGGGCTGGCTGGGCATGGACGGTAGCATCAAGAACTTAGGTAGATGGTTGGTTGTCTGTCTTTTTTTTTTCTTCTTCTTTTTTTGGAGAGGTTTTTGCTATAGGGTGCATGTGCTTGCCAGAGAGACAGAGAGACAGAAAGCGAGAAATCACCCCCCGGGGGGATGGCCACGCCGCAATCCCTTCTCCTCCATTCTCCTCTCGGGATCTTGGGCACGCACACACATGTGCCTGGCATGAGTTTAAACCACCGGGTCCAGGACGCGAACTGTGGTCAACTATGTGGAAGTCCAGTGACATAGCCATTATGCTAACTGCTGGTCCCAAGATAGTTGTCTTTCTCTCTCTCTCTCTCTCTCTTTGACATCCCCACACCCATTTCCCTTGCTCACTTTGCTATGAAATAAAGTTTTTTAAAAAAAGAAAAAAAATTGCAGAACACATACTCTCACCTCCTGGGTTGCTAAAACACAGGAAGAAGGTAAGAGTGTGGTGTTCTGGGGTCAGACTGCTGTTCTGTCTTTTGCTGTGTGACCTTTGAAAGGTCAGTTAATCACCTATCTCACCAGTGAAACTGGACTGAAACACTAATTTCATAGGGCTGGTTAAAAACTGCATAGGATTATGCTTATTCAAGTGCTTAGAATAGCACTCAAATGTTAGCTGTTGTTATGGTTCCTGTTGCTTTGTTTTAAATAAAATATTTTTGAAATAAGCCTCTTTATGTTCTCTGTGAGCCACTAGGGGGAAGAGGGAAACTGTTTAAAGTCCTTGGCTGTCAAGTCTTTAGCTCTTCCCCTGTTTTCATGCAAGCAGCCATGATATGAAGAATAAAACCTGATACTGGGTTTGCGCTTGACCACTGTTTACAAAGTACCCACCACAACCCTTTGAGTGAAAAGGCACATAGGATCATGATTCACAAGTGGGGAGAACAGACTCAGAGGGATGAGAGGACTTACTGTGCCATAAAGCCAGCACTTTGGTGACATCCTGTGCTGTTTCTGGGACATCGAATTGCCTCCCAGGGAAGGGTAACCCAGAAAGGAGAGTGTGAGCACATGGGATGCCCAGGCCAGGGTCCAGGAATACCAGCCAGGCCCATGAGAGAGCTGGCCCTTATGAGTGTAGTGTCAGCTGACACAGCAGGGAAAACCTGGGCCCAAGGAGAAAGGGACCTCAACTTGTGGCTAAGCAATAGTGATAGAAGAGTTCACTGAGTCCCTTTAAACCTGAACTGGCCCATGCAGTGAGGAACACAGCAGTTTTAAAGCTGCCAGAATGTGAAACCACCACTACACATGGCAGGCCGGAAAACACCTGCAGTTTCTTCAGCGATTCTGTTACTATTGAAGGTCTTACCGTGCACTAGGCACCGGGAAAAGGAAGGAAGGACAAAACAGGGCGGTACTCTCAAGGCCAGGTACCTAACACTAGGCAAGGTGTCAGAAGATGAGAAAAAGGAAAACAAGGCATTGTGATGAAAGCACAAGAAGGGTTGGAGGGTGTCTATCTAGCCTTTAAGGGAAAGAAGAGCCATTTCCTTGGGTGGTGACAGGGACAAGGATGAGCCTGAGGGAAATTTTAAGCAGCAAAGGTTCAAGGGTATTTGCATCTTATCTAAACAACCTTCTTCACTCTTGCCACTTATAGAACTTGCTCGGCCCATCCATTACTTTCACAGACAACGGGAACTCGGAGCCTTTCCTCTGCTGACAGAAAGGCAGAGGGGAATGGAATGTAGCTGACAGGGAGCCACCATGGAGAGACACGGAAGCCAGACACCATGAACACAGGCTATGAAAGAGCCCTGAAGTCTTCATTGGTCAACTACCCTGTACCCCCTACAAACCAGATTCTACCTGAGCTTTCATTCCACTCTGCTGGGTCAAGGGGACCAATGACAGAAGAAAAGGGCTGCTCTAACCCCTTCACTGCCACGGAACCCCAAATCCTAAATGGCATGCTCACACTGCTGCCCCGCCCCCAGCTCGCTTCCTCTCTTTGGTGGCATTTCTTGTAATCGCTACCTTGGACTCCTCTTTGTACATCCGCAGAGCATCTCCGTCTCTGAGACAACACCCAGCCCCTTGCCCAGCTATTTTCTTCCTATGGCTCCTTCTGCAACGCCTTAGTAAGGCAGAAACTGTCTTGTCCACCGCCAGAGCCAAGTACATGACACGTATTCATTCAGTGTCAGCTAAATCAGAATCACTATATCCGTTTGGTACAGCTTCGGCCAGAACATTTGCAAACTGATAGCAGTACACGTTCGCAGGCCTGGTACTGCCAAATTCCAAGGCCTAGAGCAGACAGTCTACCACCTAAACCTACCTTATTAGCTTTAATGTGAAAAATTCCCAGGGTTGTCACACCTCTTATTTGAATATCTTAGTTTGTTTCTACTTAATTTTTTCAGTCATTCCCTCTAACAAGTGTGCCGTATGTACTTTACTCTTAATTTTTCTCTACTACAGCTGCCTCAAATGACTGGTCTTTGGCTATTTTCCAAATAAAAGTGAATAAAAGCTTTCACCCATGGGAATTTATGAACTAAGTTAATAGTTACAGCTGTCCATTTCATTTTCCAATTCCAGCTAGACAGCACACGTGGTAGGTTTTTAAACTGTGTTTAACAAGGCAGTAAGTTCAGAGATTTAAAAAATAAAAAGCTCTAGGAGTTAGGAGTCCGGAGTTCGAGGTCCAAGTCCATCACTAATTTGCTATGTGACTGTATGCACATCACATCTGCTTTCCACCTCATTTTTCTGAGATGGCTGGGTCAGCAATAAGGTTTCTTTTGGGTGGGAACTGAGACGGGCTCCATACCCAGGGTTCCATGAAGCATCACTACAAGGTTTTTTTTTTTATTGTTATTTTATTTAACTTGATTTATTTATTTTAATTTTGATCAGAGAGGGACAGAGTGAGAGCGAGAGAGAGGGAAAGTGAGAAAGGGAACCGCCAGGTCTGGGACTTGAACTGCAGTTGGCCATGTGGGAGTCCAGTGCCCTTAACCACCACACCACCTGCCAGCCCTAAGGCATCACTGCAAGTTCTGAGAAATTAAATGTGTTCATGGCAGGCATGCTTAACAGCATGTAATTAAGCTTTCTGCCGGTGGGGTAAAGTTCCTGACATAGGAGATATAACAGGAACATGTTAAACTTCAAATGTTTAGAGTCTTATTTGCTTGGTAGTAACTTCCACATTGCCACTGGGCCTTAGGTACCCAAGTAGACGTCTATCTTTGAAGTCAAAAATGCCCATCTTAATCATTTTCAAAAAATTAAAAATGCACCTTACTACTCTACTAAGAAACTGCCTATGGGCCAACCCCATACTCAGGGGTTAAAAGAGCCAGATTCCACAAGGCTGACGGTAGTTTGAATCTTGGGCCCTGCTACCCTGAAAAACACACTGGGTGAATGCACCTAAAATCCCAAAGGGAAGGAGAAATGGAGGAAAAGGGATTGAGGCATGACCATGCCCCATTTAAGGGTGCTTTCTGTCTCTGGGGAGTGCACATGCCTCTGGCAATAAAATGAAAGAAAGAAAGAAAGAAAGAAAGAGAGAGAGAAAGAGAGAGAGAGAGAGAGAGAGAGAGAGAAAGAAAGAAAAGAAAAAAGAAAAGAAAAGAAAAGAAAAGAAAGGAAGGAAATCGCCTGTGTCATAGAAACAAACTAGTAACACCTGATAGTGTTGGTATGTGATTTCATTTAGTCCATATGTAGAGTACTTGGAACAGTGTCTGACTCAGAATAAACAGGACATAGATGTTTGCTATTATATTTGCATTTTTTTGTTTGTTTGTCTCATGCATTAACAACTCTAAAGGGGAGAACAGTTTTATCCCAGGATGATAAAGGCACATCCTGGTTACAGTTAAAAGGCTAGTAGTTAATCTAGAACAAAGCTCTTGTTTGAAATACAAAAGCCAAAAATAATGGCTCATTACAGTGGCCTTCTGCTATTTCATACACACCTGTTCTTCCTTTCTCTGAATCTGGTTTCCAGTTAAATCAACTCAGGACAAACTGACCTAAAAGGCACTGAGTGTAAATAAGATAGCAATCTTATTTAAAACTATTTTGGATTCTTTCTCAGATATTAATTATAAAAACAGATGTATTGCTTCTCATATCAACAAACCTATATTTCTCTAACTTTCCCACTGTTACACATGTGTATCAAACATCTTTTCCAGAAACACATCACATTCCACCTAGAAAATTTAATCACTAACCAAAGGTAAAGACAGAAGATAACTCCAAGCAAAGCCTCCAACACTACCCTTGAAAATAAAGTACTGTCATACTCACATGTTTTATTGTATTATTCCATTGTTTTATTATAATAAATACAATATCATGTCATTCCTTTTGAGGCCAACGATGGACTGTAACAGATACTTAAGTAACTACTATTGAATTAAATGACCAAGATGAATGAATTGTGGTATGACTATTGACATTTTAGACAGAAGGGAATAGATACAGGGACCTGAAGGGGCTAGTTCTGTGTTGGACAGGAGATCGGTTTTTATTTCTCTTGTGATTCTTTAACTGGGTACAGCTTTACTTCCTATTTCCTTTCTGTAGCAAACTCCATCTTCAAATAGTTCCGCACAGGTTCACGATTACGAAGCTACATACATGTCACTGAAGCAATAGGAACACTGGTTCTGGAACTAGGTGGAATGGGTTCTTGATTCCAACTTTTATTACTTACTGACTGGCGACAGGGAACTTGTCATTTGTAAAATGAGGATACTAATAGTATCTACCTTGGAGAATTGTTATAAAGGTTAACTGAAATAGTTTGTCAAGCATTTGAGCTCCTAGTAAGTACCTGACACATGTCAAATATTATTTTACTCTTTGGTTAATTTTTTTTTAAGACTGACTCAACAGTGTCATGACTCTCTTGCCTCAGCCTCCTCAGGCACTGTGTCCAGCATTTCCGGTGGGCCAAGTATAGAACCAGGGCCTCCCATGTGGCCTCAACCTGTTGAGCAGTAGCATCAACCAGCATACACCTCAACAGCTGGATATATTTTATTCTTATTAAAAAAAGTTAGGGCCAGCAAGTGGTGTACTAGTGAAGTTGCTGGGCTCCCACATGGACAACCAGAGTTCAAGTTTTGGACGTGGTGGCTTGAAAATCAAGCTGGGTGCATGTGTATACATGCCCAAAATCCCAGGAGGAGATGGATGAGAAGGGATTGTGATGTGACCATATCCTTAGGGAGTGATTTCTCACTGGTGAGAGCATGAGCCCCATGGCAAAAACCTTTAAAAAAAAAAAAAAAAAAAAAAGAGCTATAAAATCCAAAAATGTAAATATTATAAAAAATAAAGACAGACTGAGGGTTATGTTCCAGACAAAAAGGGACTTGATAACTGAGTACAATAGGTGAACCTAGACTGGATTCTGTACTGGACAGAGAAAATGCTATCATATAAAAGACATTGTTGGTCAACTGACAACAGTACTACAATACTTGAATCTACTATCTGTATTCCATTATTAAATACATGTATACCAGGGACCAGTGGGTGGTGGTGGTTAAAGCACTAGATTTCCACATGGCTGACCACAGTTCGAGTCCTGGACCTAGTAGCTTGCTTTCTCTTTCTCTCTCAATCTCTCTGGTGAATGCATATACCCTACAGCAAATTCTTTAAAAATAACAATAAACAAAATTGAATAAATACTTCTTTTTAAAAAAATACATGTATGCTAGAGTTGAAACATGCTGTTGTTCTATGTATTTAGAAATAAATAGCCATGTGTACAGCTTTCTCTCAAATGAAAGAGAACTAGAGAAAATAAAGTATATAGAGCAAAATGTTACTGAGTGAATCTGAGTACAAGGTAGACAGGTATGCCAGAAGGGACTAAATAAAGCATCCCTTTTAGGAGCTCAGCCCCAGGTGGCTGTCCTTTTTTTTTTAATCCTAGGAAGTTTCTTGGACAATCCCACTGTGATATGGTCTGGGCCTCCGCCCCTAACCCTGCATCCTCCAGACATAACAGCCTTCTTTGGGCTCCTGGACAGGAGCACTTGTACCTGCTATTCCTTACTCTTGGAAGTTCCTCCCTGATTACCAAGTGCTTGTCTCCTTGTGTTCAGATTTGAAATGTAAAGTTGGAACTTCAACGTGACCTTCCCTGGTACCTTACTCAGCACATCTATTAGCCATCGAGAGCTTAGAACACTGCCTAGGATAGAGCAGGCGCTCCATGACTATCACTGCATGTACGAAGTAAGCCACGCTCCTATTCATAAGGCAATTTGCCTGGTCCTCTTCTGCCCCACTCCCATTCCTCATATTCCTATTATGCAGTCACTTAAAATACTATAGTTATTGTCTGCATAGCTGTCTACCCACTATATTTTAAGCTGCTTATGGAAAGAAGCTGTCTTGCCCTCTCCAATTTCCAGTGCCTACTTCCATACATTTTCAAGGCACCAATAATTCAAACAAGCAAAGCCTCAACTCACAATTGAGAATTTAAGAAACTTTTACATTGTATCTTTCCACCCTCCTAAGAGTCACTGATAGCAAATAATACTAATTAGACCTAACAGTTGCTGAGTGCTTATTATGACTCAGTAGCTTTTTTTGTTAGAGGTTTTTGCCTGTGGAGGGGTGAGACAGAGACAGGGACAGTGAGAGAGAAAGTGAGAAATCACCCCCGCCAGGGGAATGGACACACCACAGTCCCTTCTCCATTATCCTCCCCGGATCTTGGGCACATACACACGTACATGGGCCCGATGTGATTTTGAAGTCACCAGGTCCAAGACTCAAACCATGGTCAGCCATGCAGTAGTCCAGTCATGTAACTGCTACGCCACCTGCTGGTCCTAAGGACTCAGTAGCTTTAAATACTTTCTCTCTCTCTCTTTCTCTCTCTTTTTGGAGAGGTTTTTTGTTTGTTTGTTTTTGTTTTGCTAAAGGGCATGTGCACCCGCCAGGAAGACAGGGAGAGACAGAGAGACAGAAAGCAAGAAATCACCCACCAGGAGGGACGGCCACACCGCAATCCCATCTCCTCCATTCTCCTCTCAGGATCGTGGGTATGCATGCACACGCACCCAGCGTGAGTTTAAGCTACCGGGTCTGGGACTCGAACCGCAGTCGACTACATGGGAGTCCAGCAACATGGCCATTACACTGACTGCTGGTCCCAATACTTTATCTCTTTGAATCATCATTATAACCTTACTAGCTAAGGTAGTATGAGAACTGGAGGCTCAGAGAGGTTACATTACTTCTCCAAGGGTTCATAGCAGTGTAGATGTACGATTCAAATCCAGAAAGTAGATCGCTAAAGCCCATACTTGCTACCACCCAGAACAGATGAAGAAAATTTGGTGTGTTGCTCACTTTGCCAAATCAATCTACCCATCACCATGTGAACGCTTGCCATGGCAGCAAGCCAACCTCATCCCAGAACGGTGGCTCAAAAGCTACACAATGAAAGGCACCACCAAGGGAGTTCGTTGTCCAAATAAAAGCTCAACCACTCCAATAGAGTGACTGAAAAACCCTACCAGGGAGCCAGTCTTTATTTTATTTTTTTAAATTACGGTTTTTGCCATAGGACATGTGTGTTCCTCAGAGAGAAACAGAGAGAGAGTGAGAAGGAAAGTGAGAAATCACCCCATGGGGGTGGTGAGGGGGTGCTGCGGATGGCCACGCTGCAATCCCTTCTCCATTCTCCTCCTGGGATTTTGGGAACACATGCCTGGTGTGATTTTTCAAGCTGCTGGGTCTGGGACTCGAACTACAGTTGGCCATGTGGAAGTCCAGCTGCATACCTACTACCACCTTTTGGCCCAGGAGCCACTTTTTACACACTGCAAAGACCCTAGTTAAAACTCAAATACTTATATCAGCAAAGGGTTAACTGGTTACAGCTAGCATAAGTTACAGACATTTTAGAGCAAATTATCAGGCCGGATATTGAGGAATGGGACTGCACCAGTTAAAGTTAGGTAATGGAAAAGAGACATTTAAAGAAACATCTAGTGCATACTATCCTTTAAGACCGTGGTGATCAAGGTCAGGTACCAGAAGTATTTACATATGTGTAGTAAAGTGCTGAGACTCAGAGGCGTTAGACTGGGCTCAGAATAAAACAAATGCAGACGAGGTGGAAAATTTCCATCTTCTGCAAAATGCTGCTTTACAACCAGTCCCAAAGAGCAGTGCTGAGAAGTTATTCGTCTGCAGCAAAGCAAAAACCATAAAGCAGAGGGAGAGGCGCCCGCACCATCCCGCTAGACAATACTGGTCTTCATCAAATTAGAACCAACAAAGAACTAGATAAAAGCCAACAAGCAGTCCCTGTCTAAAAAAGCAGATGTTCACGCTACACATGGCATTACAGCATCAGGGAGCAGGATTTCTCGGCACTTTCACATCTGACAGCAGTCTCCTCCCACCCGTGCGGCCGTTTCTGGGGCCCTCCACTGCACGAAACAGCGTTAGAGCTGCTTCCACACGTGACTGAGTATCTCCAGCCCCGGGCCACTTCAAGTCAGGCCACCTCCACTGGTGGCCAGGATGGCGGATGACATCCCTGGAGGCAAGAGAAGGCAGGCAGGCGGCCTCTGGAGCTGCCCTAAGCTCATGCTCGGTGGACAGAGGCTGGAGGCCCTGCGTGCTGAGGGTCCCGTGCAGTCTCCATGTTTACGGTGGGCAACCATCTAACAGTCCTCCCGCCGTCGGACCTCTGACGCCACTCCTGACGCCACTCCTGCCGCTAAGCTCTGCTACAGTTTGGCAGCCAGCTTTCTTTGTCTCGACCAGCTGTGTGCACGTAGACAGGTCTGAAGGAAACGGTACCCTGGTGCAGTGGCCCTTCTGATGGGACACTAACACTCAGAAGCACGTGACCCCTGCGCACCCGTGGGCCGCCCAGGGGGGCCATCCCGGCGAGGACCGGGGTTCGCGCGCAGGCCCGGCCCGCAGTCCCGGGAGCCCGCACGCCCTCCCTCCCGCAGCACCACGTTTCCTGTCAAAACAAACCCCGGGGCGGGGACGGCGAGGCCGAGCCGGCGCCAGGGAGACCGGCAACAAACCCCGACACGCGCCGCGGGCCCGCGCGGCCCCCGCCCGGCTCCGAGA